GGCTGCTGGCGGCCGTCGGGTGGGAGTGGTGTGCGGGGCGGGCTCCTGCGGTGACAGCCAGCTGTGCGTGGCCCTGGGCAGCCGGTGGTAAACACCACCGCTGCGCTGCCTCGCCACCTCGGCGTTCCTCAGGATGAGGCCCCTCAGAGAGGTGGCGGGAGAGGCAGGCTTGCCTCGCTCCCCTCGCGTTATTGCCCGACAGCAAGCTGCGTGGGGGAGAGGGTCAAAATAAGGGTTTCTGACTGGAAATTATGTGAGCTTAGTAACTGAAGGAGGGAGTAATTTACTGACCTTGAATGTGAAAATTTCAATCTGCCACGCAGAGTTTGGCTTACTTAAACCTCAGGCGAGAACACTCTGACAGTACTTGTGTAGGAGACCTGTTCATGGAAAATTCGCACACTTGAGGAAGTGTTGCTAGTGACTAAATAGCTTTTTTCTTTTCAGAGGCACTGGACTGAAACCCAGGAATGACTTGTGTTGCTGTTAGAAAACTGACATTTCGATCTAGATAATGATAAAGTTCTTGTATCTTGTATCAGAGGTTATTTGGCTCCTGCTCTCTGTCACAAGAGTTGTTTAGATTTTATTATCTTATGAATGTTGCTGGTAGGGTAAATATAAAGGCCATGTGTAACACCATGAAGCTTAATAGAGTGTTCCTTCATTCTGCTATTACACTAAAGGCACAAGAAGACAAAAATGAGCCAGTGGTATTAAGCCAGAAAGCGATTAAAAGTGGAAACAATCGCGCATTTATGGCAATGGTGTTAGTGAAAGAATGCTGTAAGTATAAAGAGCCAGCGCTGGGCTTGCTACCACATCTCAGTGAGATGGGGTTTTCTACCATTTAAAAAAAAAATAAAATCACACCTTGTCCTGTGTTACATGAAAAGGAGAACCTGTCTAGACCCTATGCTTTCCTTCTCTGGTCTCTGCTAACTTGAGTGTTTCTTGCTTACCTACTCCTTCTGTTGCTGCTCTGCTTCCCCTGCTCTAGCATTTGTGCTCCTTATGCCATGGCTTTCTGTATGGGCAAGAGCAACAGCCTAAAATAATATCTTTATTTTAGCCCTGTCACTAAACAAATAACTTCACTGTTACCTGTTTGAAAGTTGGGTTTGTAAATTGTTGCTGGGCAAGTATTAATGTTTGTGAGGCTTTTCAGTTGTGGCCAGAGGTGTAAAGATTTCAGTCTTTGCTTTAATGAATTGTATACTCTGAAAAAACTTTGTTTTTTGATAAGGATTTCTACCCCTCTAGTCCCTGCGTTACTACTTGCTTTGGGACATCTTTTGTGTGGCAGCCTTTTAATCATGTTATTTTTTAAAACATTATAGTATCTGTATTACTTTATGGTTTGAAAAGCGTCTCATGATTTTCTGGGAAGTAGTCTTGTTTTATGATTTTTAAGCCTGGTTTATGTTAGTGGAAATGAACAGAGTGAGAACGGTATGTTATAGTCTGGCCAGTCCTGTTCTTTGGATGTCCTCCAGTTTGTTGTCACTGGACGTGTCTTTGGAATCTTGTGTGGTGTGTAGGCTATATATTTAAATGTATTCGTATCTTAAGACTGACAGGAAACTATATAGTTGTTGACATTTAAAACCTCAGAGAAAAAAATGCCTACAGCTTAGGCTTCTAAGATCATCAGGAGCCTTGCTAAAACTATCAGCTTGACCTTAAGAAGCCTTATGGGTCACTTAACATCTCCACTTTTTCTTCAGTGCTTGTTTTTACTTAAACCTCAAGTAGGAAGATTACAGCAGTTTAATCATAAATTAAAAACTAGGTGGTTACTTGTGTGATCCTAGATGTTGATGGTTTTGGGTAATTTCAAATTCTGTTGGAGACTTTAGTGGCCTAGAGGAGAAATTGACAACAAAATGTAAGATGTTGGCACAAAAGCTTTACCACTGGGCCCTGAAGGCCTGGACAATATACAGTGTATCAGGGAGCTATGTTACTTATACCTGAATTATCTAAAAAAGAATTTGCTGGTGGTACAGGACACAAGTATTCAAGAGTAAATATGCCAAGCATCTTCCTCAAGGTGCAGTTCAGTTGTTGTTTACCTAGCCTGAATGTCTGATGGAAAGACGACTCTCTTTTGTAGTCAGCTTATAGAGGCTACCTAATGTCTCACTTTAAAAAGAAATTATATTTTTGTGTTACAAAAACACGACAGAATTGTCCACAAATATTAAATAAGTCCAAAGGGAATGTGTGAATAACCCTCTTATGGCAGTCTGATTTTGTTGTCTGATGCATATGTATTTCTTGTATTAAATTGAAATTACAGTAAGTGCGATTTTTTTTTTTTTATTTCAAGAAGGATTTTTTACTTCATTTCTGACAATAATGAAACTACAATATGCTCTTTATATCTTTTTTTCTATTGGTTGTATTGGTTTAGACTAAACTGGCTTCTAAATTTGTCTCTGCAAAGTCCTGGTGAGCAGAGAGAAAGAAACTTTTTATTTCTTGTGGGCTGAAGAATCTTCAAACACAGTTGGTGGCGATGTATTTTGACATACAGCTTAAACTTTTTTAATTACTGAATAACAGTGTGGGTTGTATGGAATACAGTTGTGTGCATAGTGGGGCTGTAGAGTCTCCATTCCCTTCCAAAGATAGAAATTAATTGTTTCTTTTAAACTTTCTCAGGTAGCTTAAGTCAGTTAATTAAACCCATTTAAAATACAGTTTGGCTGTTTTAACTCACTAGTACTAAAAACATGTGAAACAAAACAGGAAGCAATACTTAAAGCAGTGATTCCCCTTTCGTTTTTGTAGCTGAGTCCTCTGTGTGTTTACATACCATGTTCTGCCATATGGGATTTACTTTCTGTTGAGCTTGCAGCTATCTTTGTAGCTGCTGTAAATATGTAAGAGGTTACTGTGTCATGGGCTATGTCACAAAGTATGAGAGCTCAGATCGTCTGTGCTCCTTGTTTCTTTTTTATGTGTGTTCATTTTCTGTTTGCACACTTTTCTTGAATACTGTTCATTCAGTTTCTTTCTTCCAAAGTGCATTTCCCAAGATTCTTGTGCAATCTCATTCCTTTGCAAAAGATTGACCTTCTGTAAGTGCGTTTTAATATAAACAAGTTTTGACCTTGTTTAATGTTAGCATGTCATTCCAGGTTTATCTGGGCCTTCATAATTCTTCTGCTCTGGAAAAAACCAAACCCAACTAACTGGATTCAGCTTTGTGCTTCCAAGCTAGGTAGATAACTGTGGAAGTTATTTTGGTAGATTTCCAAGTGCAGTCTGACCCAGTCTGATACAATTACTAAAATACCTTTTCTGAAATTAACTTTTAAGTAGAGATGTAGTTCAACATTCAGATATATTAATCTTTGTACACTTTGGGGGCTAGACCTAGGAAAAAAAAAAATGCCCATACTGGAGATCTATGTTGATATAGCATCTCAGTTTAGATTTGCTTCAGAGTGTAAGGTGGGCCTTAGAGGATGACAAGTTAATCCAAAATACCAAATAGTAGTCTTCAGCCACCACATACATAGGTCAATTGGTCATGTAAGCCTGGGTGAAGTAAATAATCCATCAGATGGATCTTCATGAGGAAAGATAGAGTTCCTATGTCTAGGAGTGTCCTGGCATTTTAAAAAAGACACAAAGAGACTTGAGCTCATTCTGCCCACATGATGGCCTGGCTTGATAAGGGCTAGGTGTGAGCCAAAACCCTCACAGCCGTGCTAATGCTGAACCATGCCCGAGCTAGCCAGCTCCATGTAACTGCTTGATTTTAGTCATGTTAGGGTACCTCAGTTGACAGTAAAGGTATTAACGAATGTTTCGTGAAATGAATGGCTGTACTGAAAATGTTACATCTGAAATAATTAAGCACGAATAAAGATAAGGTGAAATACTAATTGTGTAATGCTTTAATGCATGCAGGTCATTTGAAGTTGTGCTAGTGCTACATTGTGAACATATGCCAGTATACTGTACTCATGCAGTACTCTCATTGCTGCTGCTCAGCTGATGAAGTGCCTGAGACTTTTGTGAGACTGAGGCTTGATTCATCAAAAACATGTATTGTGTGCTTCTGGAGCTTGTTTACTACTGGAGCTATCTTGGCCAGTTGTACTTACCTATATTCTAGCCTTTTCTGTTTTAAGTCTCAAACCAAGTGTTCTGGATGAGTTTTGTACCTGTGGGGTTAAACTTTGCTTTTCATTAGCTCTTTGTGCATATAGGTAAGACTTAACAAAATGGCGCTTACCCTTCCTTATTTGTCGTATGTTAGTGTTCATGCACCACATAGTTACTAATGAGTTTGGACAAGAAGGTCACACTTAAGATAGAAGGTAGTGAATCATAGTGAATTCCTGTTGTGGAATGTGGGTTAGAAGATCCTGATTTCATAGGTTATAATCAAAATATCTGTGGCAACTGCTACAGCTACTGGCATTGAAAAATATCACAAAGGTTGTAATTTAGTAATTGTACTGTACTGTGAACAGCTGAGCATGCAGCAGATAATCACAGTGTGCATGTAGCTTGGGAACTGTTGTGTCCTGGGGCGTATCTGGAGGAAAAGATGGGAAATGGGTCCTCCTTATTTTTAAATAAAATTTTTGGTGTGAAATTCTTCAGTTTACGTGGTACCTATTAAACTCACCTGTCTTGAGAAAACTTGTAGGCCTCTTCCAAAACTGATATAAAGAGTAAACCAGGTATTGGCATTGCAGTGGACTGCTGTCAGTTGTATGTGCAGTATGAGATCAGGTTTCTGCAAGAGTGTTTACATGGCATGTTGGCTTGTTGGCAGCAAGCATGGATCAGCATTGGAACTGAAAACGTGCCATTGGAAAGGTAGCTAGTGCGTACAATTTGAACAACAAGATGTGTGGGTAGGAAAGTAGAGATTGAAAGCAGCCTTATGTCTCCAAACCTATTTATTAACCTTCTGATGGAAGATGACTATTAGAATTCTGATTTTTTTTTTTACACCAAAAACCATTAGAAGTTGCAGTGTATTTTCTTTTAAACACAATGTCGATGGAGAAACTGTGCATCTAAGACACTTGCAAAGTTTAGGGCTAAAAGATACTATTAAATAATTACCTGCCATTTATTGCCTGCAGCTGTGGTTTTCTCTGCTGCTGTCTGTGCATTGACCTTAAAACTTATGCTTGATTTAAATGCATCTTCAAAAAAAAATTTCCTCTTCACATGAATGTTAATCATTGGTATGCTAACCACTGAATCAGATCAGAAAAGTAAATGCTAGTCAGACATTACTGTCTTTTATTTTCATCTGACTGGCTTCAGTTTCCAACCAGCTTGTTACAGCTTTCGTTGGTAGGTTTTGGCTCCTTTGATGCCTGGAATTTTTTTCATTATGAGGTATTTGTATGTTGTGGTGGAGTATTTTGTCTTGATGTTGTAAAGGTAAATACATTTGTTAAGAGTTATTTGAAGCCTTACAAAAATACCATCAAAGTATAGTTTTTTGGCTTTTCCAGGATTTTCAGTATTATTCTTCAAATATGTCTTTTAGAACTTTAAATAGGCAAACCCCCTGTTGGGATTCTAACATTGGCATAGAATCACTTTACTGCTGTTTTGTTTTTACCTTGAAAGGGTAGCCTTCTGTCATAGTGAAAGCTAGATGTGCAAGCTGGATTGTCTATCTGCTTTTGCTCTTGAATTATTTTGGGGTTATTGCTTTTCTGTATTCAGTCGTTCATTCCCTAGATCTGAGCATGGATAGTTTGCATTTCCTAACATAAAAAGGGTTTTCTTGAACGGGG